TAGATATCCATGTTATCAAAAAATGATAGGCTTATTGTCACTAAGTAATGTAAAAGTGTTAAAAAATCTAACACTTTTTATTAGTAAACTTAAGAACATTTTGTAAAATGCCGGATTATTTAAAATGTATTTTTTATGTTTTTTCCTTTGTTATATCCACCATTGTTTTGTTTTGTATTGTTTGTAATATGTAAATATTGTATTCCTCTTGTTACACGTATGTATTGCAAAAAAATATGACAAAGCTTCATAAAAGCCCAACAAAAAAAATCCTTTGATAAATATAATCAACAGATATTAAGACGATATATTATCTGTAAATAATCCAGATGTTTCTGAAAAAAAATCTAAACATCTATCTATACCTTGTCTCATTCTTACTAAATCAAACGTCGATGTCCCTTTTTAGACCGGCCTTGTAATAATTTCTTATGGTTATATTCATACAAAAATTATAAGAAGCGGGATCACTTTTCATTTCCTAAAGTTAAAAAAAAATCATTAAAACACAGAATATACCATAATTAAACCCAGATAAGGTAGTTTGGGCGTCTTGTATTTTAGTAGTTTAAGTAGTATTAAGGGATATTAATGACCTTGACCATCCATGCGGGTATCGCACGGTTGGCAGGTTGTATTATTGCTTTGCATGTATTTCTATATGCCTGTGCTGTATCTATGCATCGTAATATATGCTGCTTAAATATCTTATCTGCATGCTCTCTGTGTTATATATTAATACGTAAAAAAAACACCCCATCCAATTTCCTGTAAAGATGTGACAGTGCCTTTATGATAAAAAATGAGGAGTTGTGGCATGATTGCAGACGAGAGAACTGACCAAAGGACGAGAGTGTAAAAATATAGGTTGGTCATGAAATTATAGTTGTAACAAGTATAAACTAGAGGCCCTAAAGAGCCTGTGTCGATCACCTGGATCTTTGTGCATTTTCAACAATGCCGGACCACTCTAGAATTAAAGACTATAATATGATTTTTTTGTTGATCTTGTCTTGTTATTTGTAGATCCGGCTTTTTTACCGTGAATTTATAGTTTCTTTCTATCTTCTATAATCACATCTTTATTGTCCAGAGGCGGGTGTAGGGGATGGGCAGGGGGTCGGCCCCCCTTATGGAGCTACATTTATGGTTGATGCAGATTTTTTACTTGCTCCACTCAAAACGTTGCTTAGTTTGGGCCCCCATCACCCTTTTTCATAGTCATGGATCCGCATCTGTTGTCATGTAAACATATTTAGTTTGTGACAAAACAAAACATAATATTATGGCAAAGAAATAATAATTCTATTATATATAACTGAACACATAGGAAAATATTAAAAGTCTTCTGTCCTCAGTTCTAATGACTGTTTTATAAATGAGCCAATATTTTTTTTTGGGGGGGGGGGGGGGGGGTACGAGACATAAAATAATGACGGAGTAGGTAAACAATTTGCAAATAGATTAGAAGATAATATGCAAAAATATAAAAAAAAATCGCAAATTTCGTCATTTAAGGAAAATAACTCCCATAAGGTGTGGTCTGACAGCATTGTCCAATAGGAAGATCACAACATTTTAAACATATCAGTCCCGTCAGATTTTCTCGGTCTATATTGCGGTTTTCAATATAATAGACAAATCCTGAATTTTACCATGTTAACCCCTTTGTTTCATTTTAAACCATATAAAAATAAGGAGATGTGGTATGATTGCCAATGAGAACTATCCACCCAAGTTCAAATGAAGTGGATGTAAGCAGTTATAGGCAACCGTACGGCCTTCAACAATGAGAAAAACCCATACCGTATCAGTAGTCGGCTATTAAAGGCCCCGACTTGAAAAATATGAAACAATTCAATTGAGAAAACTAACCAGATACGTAGCTAAGCCGGAAATGTTGTGGATGCCAAAACTATCGCCGAGCGCAGCGAAAAAAGTTCGACGAGCGGAGCGAGGTGAATTATTTTTTAGACTAATTTATGCAGAAAATGAACCTTTTTCGGACATTTTCCCTGTATGCATGCGTACTCCCCTAGAATCCGACACCGGTTAGATTTTTTTTCAATAAATAAGCGCCCTGAAAATATTGAATAGGGTTCAATGATATAATCTATTTACATAAATTAACAATTCAGGTTATTTTCAACAAAAAGTTCAGTTTTCTTACCTAAGAGATGCAAATTTTGAAATCACGTTTTGTCTATCGATCGCCAAATCTCTATAGATGTGTAGCATAGCAAGCGCCGAGAGACGGTCTGTTCTCATCGTGAGTGTCTTTGTAAGGTATATAGTCACATAGAAATATTTTTAAATATTTTTTATTTAAAGAAGGGTAGGCTATTCAAAATGGCGACTTAGATCCCTTTAGGATTTTTCAGTACACGTGTATGAATAGTCAAGGCCGTAACTAGGCATTTTATTTTAGTGAGGCAGAACTGATCTCCGAGCGGAGCGGGGCGAAAATTTTCGGCAGGGGGGTCTGGGAAAAAAGGTGTAAAATCCTGCATTCTGTGCATTTCCAGAGAGCTTGACATCGTTGAAACAAGCTGTCCGGAGTTTTTATTTTTGAACACTTTTTATATATTTTTCATATTTTAGGACATGTACTAACACCAAATTTTTAACAACTTTATCTAAATTTATATGTCAGACAAACATCCAAATATCCATTTAGGTCTGCCGCCAGAACACAGAACAAACATCGACTCAGTAACAATTGTTATTCAAATTGAAGTTTGCCAATTTTTGTATGACCGGTTTCGTCAAATCGTTTCAGAATATTTGGTCTCCTGACATCCTTATTGCGATGAACATGGAGCATGGCAAGACCGCACACGTAATCCCGTATATATATAGTCCCGAATTAGAAAACACGAAATACCGTTTTAAAGGTCCTACCGTCCCTCAATAATGTCAGAATTGGATTATGGGATGTTCTTTAAAATTTTAAGGTAAAAGAAACATGGATAAACACTAGTCCATGAAATTTTCATATTATTTATATTTTGTTTATCTGTAAAGAGGACAAATAAAGTTGGGAGAAACAGGTAAATGAATACTCAGACAGGACTGTTCCCGTGCGGTGCCCCAGGTCTTGATTTGTCAGTCTATTTATAGTTTTTGGATTAGTTCCAATGAAAATATATTCAATATTGGAACTCTTAACACCTGTTGTGATCACAAATAACATCCATTAGTTCACTACTAAAACTATTCCTTCCTCACCTTTAGGGGGCCTCGGTGGCCGAGAGGTCTAAGTAGTTACTACTGTAATCACTAGCCAGTCAACACTGAGGTTGTGAGTTCGAACCCCGCTCGTGCGGGTGCACTCGACTCCAATCTTAATTGACTAGGATAGTCCGTTTTCCTATCGAAGGTCGGTGGTTTTCTCCGGGCACTCCGGCTTCCTCCACCAATAAAAAACTGGCCGCCACGAAATAGCCCAAAAGCGGTGCTTAAAAGTGGCGTTAAAACACCAAAAAAATCAAAAATCAAATCAAATCCTCACCTTTAGTATTGCTTTTCCTTTTTCTGCAAGAGCCTGTTTTTATAGTTATCAAAGGTACCAGGATTATAATTTAATACGCCAGACGCGCGTTTCGTCTACATAAGACTCATCAGTGACGCTCAGATCAAAATAGTTATAAAGCCAAACAAGTACATTACAAAGTTAAAGAGCATTGAGGACCCAAAATTCCAAAAAGTTGTGCCAAATACGGCTAAGGTAATATATGCCTGGGATAATAAAATCCTTTTTTTTTCGTAAAATTCAAAGTTTTATAAACAGGAAATTTACACAAATGATTTAACCAGAGATCCATAATGATTACCGTTCACTAGGTTAATGTAATGATGAGATGATGAAGAGAATAATTTAAAATGAACGATGTCAAGTAATAGAAATTAAGGTTGAGACAGAAAAAACAAATGACTATATTTCGTATTCAATTACCATATACAAATACACAAAAACAAAAAATTTAGTGTCGAAATTTTAGTGAGGCATTTGCCTCACTTGCCTCAGTGGTAGTTACGGTCTTGAATTAGTAAACTGCATATTGCTAGACTGAAAACAAAGAAATATTGAAGCCAACGTTAAAAACGTTGATAATGTAATACAAATAGATAGGAAATACGAAAAAAGATTTGAAAAACATTGATAAACAAAATTTTAATCTGCTAACCGAGTCCCTGTGATAGGATTTTTCAGTACACGGATATGGATAGTAAACTGCACATTGCTAGAAAACAAAGAAATATTGATGCCAACGTTAAATACGTTAATAATGTAATACAAATAGATGGGAAATACGAAAAAAGATTTGAAAAACATTGAAAAAACAATATTGTATTTTAATCTGCCAACCGAGTCCCTGTGTAATCGGACACATCTGTTTCAAACAAAATGCCTCAATGATGAGTGTTGACAAGTTTTATCCCAATTGACCAAGTAGTTTCAGAGAAAATTTGCAAAAGCTAACGGACGACGACGGACGCCATAGAGATGAAAATAGCTAACTTGACCTTTTTGAGACAGGTGAGCCATAATTGTTATGTTCCTGTTTATTCGTCGTTTTATAACTTATATTATAAACGACTGCTCTATTAAAAGTCATTTTTATTAATTATTTCACTTTTCTAGTAAGTGTTCCTGCGGGCATAAATTCCACCAGTCAAGCACACACGAGTCGTGTGCCAGTTACCTACACGCCAATTCAAGCGTGACTAGCGGTGTCTCCGTCTAACTCCCGCGAACTAACGTTACACTTCAAAGTCAACAAAAAGTGATTTCAGTTGTGATGCGGTGTGCGGAATAAAATAGGGCAGTCAAAAGAACGGTTAAAGTATTTTTTTTTATGCATACCACATATAATAAAGACCTGCTAAAGAAAACACATAAATCATAATCTTTTCATAGATTATTATATAGCACATATATTAGAAAATCAAATATTTATGAAGTCCATACCTTGATAATTACGCGTAGTGACATAATCTGCAAGGTGCTTGTTTGTAAATCAACACGAGTTGTAAAAGTTTTGTGTATTCGACGATGGAGTTTAAAATATCATGTTAAAAGTTTGGAAAAGTATATTTGCAGTGCTATTTTTGAATTGGGAATAATGTTCGGATATTTAAGTGAATATTCCATAAGGGATTTATTATGATTTTGGAGTTATGTTGGTTTTTGCACGGTTTTTGACGGCTGTGTTGATTGCACATCAAATTATCATCATTGAAGGTAATGTCCTAGTGATAAAAATACCCATGCATCGAAATACTGTGATGATGAATACTTAAACCATTGTACACTTGTCTTTTTTCTATTTTACAGAATATATGATGTTTTGAAAGAAAAAAGTTTTAATGGTTTAATTTGATATGAGAAAAAATAACTTGGAATAAAGATATTATGTTTTGAAACATAGGCAATACACATTTCGTTGCGCGTGCCTTCTTTGTTTTCATGCAAGATGATGTCATAATGTATTGATGCACTTATAATTATAAACAAGTTTTGTTTGTTTAAAATATTACCAAGTGAGATTTCAATTTCTTGTGGAGATTATAAAATAGCATATTAAAAACATTTAATAGTTAAAATAAACATTTCAAACCTTTAAAGTATATTTTGATTTCAGTTTTAGTAGAGGTTTAAAATTTCATTAAGTTAACAGTATTCTTTTTTCAAAAGGTTAGAGCTATTTGAACAGGTTGGGACCAATCTCCCAAATGGGTTATAATATCTCGTTTGGGATATACATTGACAAACAACAAAAAACATGACAATATGATGTCATATAATATCAAACACTGAGTTCCTGACTTGTAAGAGGCACATGAATATATGGCCGTGTTAATCTTTGATTTTTTAAAAATTTCAACCCCCCTTTTCTAAATCAGTAGAAAAACATAAAGGCACATAATTTATAAACACAAAAAAAACAGTGTAGGAAAATCATAAATGTAGAAAAGATGACAAAAAACACAAGCACAAAAACAATAAACATGATAACCAAAATAATTATACTGTATCAAAGAATGATTGCAGTCACTGAAAGCAAGCTCAAAGTGCTTAACCTCCTGATATGAAATTTTGGAATTCTACACTTAAATATCAGTTGCTGTACTTCAAAGTTGATTTTGTACAGCAATGTCATAAAAAGTCCTGGATCTTGAAGACACGATCTTCTGCATTGTCCAGTTCAAGCTAATAGAATTTCAATGCAGAAAAAAACAAAAGAAATATTTCATGCTTCTTGCCATAAATAAGCTAATAGATGTTTAATCCCAAAAATAACATGCAGTGATTGTACCACAATAGTACAATTTAAATGATAACCCAGGAATTTTTTTATGAAACATGATCAGATGATTTATATTTTGAATTAAGAAAAAATGCTTTTCAGCATTAAAAATTACACCTGAAAGATAAAGAAGTATTATACATGTAGTATAAATTTGTTTAAAGAGTATTAAAGAAACAGCACAGAATCTTAAAAAAAAAGACCACAAATGTTTCATTTATGATTTCCCAAAAACATTCATCACAAAAATTTTATGAAAAGTTTCCCCCCAAAAATACAAAAATATGTTCCTTAATGAAATGTATACTAATATTTTGTTTTGTGAAGTTAATTTATTGCCATGAAGTTGCAGCACATGTTTATCATCTTAAATATTTTTTGTGTACTAGAGTGCTTAAATGTAATTTTAACCTGGTGTTTATTTTCATACAGCCAGAATATCTTCCAAGTACAAAAGAAGTTGGAGAACCTACAGTATTAAGTAACAAAAATTTCGAATAGCAACATTCATGAATTAAAAAAATAAATGGATTATGAATGTTTTATTTTGCAGCATTTCCTTCATGCTATCCTGATCCCTGTTTGAATGGAGCTGCTTGTAAAACAGCAAGTAATGGAGAAAGTTACTGTGTGTGAGTAAAAAATATGTAGTGGATTTAGCCATTTGCCATCTACAAATATGTGTATAAAGCCAAGTTTTTGAATAGAAATATTGGCAAGGAATTAAAATCATATTTACAGGGGTTGTTCTGGGACTTGGACTCACTGAATTAATACATTATTTCAAATGCCGTGTGTTTCTTGGACCCTTGATTTTCTGAAATGCTGCACAAAAACATCTGTCAAGTCAGTCGCCTCCGTGAAATATTTGTCAAACACTTTTTAACGGTATATATGGTTTTTAAATTTTAAGGGTATAAAAATGAAATAAGTTAAATACAAGGTGTTTTACCCAATTTTGTTTGCCAGGAGGCAGGAAACTAGAAGTTATTTTTGTTGGTCCTTGTGTTTTTCACATGAATATTCATGTAAAATGTGAATTTTTAACAACAAAATCATAAGAGATAATTTGCTATATGTTACACAATTTCCAAATATTTTGTAGAAAAATATTAACAAATATGCAGATGTAATGGAACAAAAATATTCAATATCTCCATCTGAAAAAAACAGCATAAGTTTGGTGATATCTTTGTTGAGCTTGTTTTCGGACTTCTCACACATACTTCTGTTACTTAAAATAATTGAAACTAGCACACTTTCCATCTGTTTGCCTTATAAGATTATTTTTTCTTGCAAATGACACTAGTTTTATACAGCCCTGATAAAAGGATATATACAGTTGAATGTACCTTAATGAGACTGTAACCTAACAACAGAAAAATAATGAAAAGAAGTCAAATTATGTTAGCATTAACTCCCAAATATTACACCTTGAATTTTCGTGTGTGATCAATATTAAAATTGTAGATTGTTCATTTTCAAAATATGAAAATAAGGAGATTTGGTATGATTGCCAATGAGACAACTATCCACATAAGTGTAAATGAAGTGGATGTAAGCAATTATAGACAACTGTAAGACCTTCATCAATGAGAAAAACCCAAACCGTATAGTCTGCTCTAAAAGGCCCTGACATGAAAAATATGAAACAATTCAAATGAGATTACTAATGGCCTAATTTATAACAAAACAATGTAGGAAAAATGAATATCATTATGACAGACATGAACCAACCACAACCACTGAACAACAGGCTCTTGACTTTGGACAGGCACATTAGAATTTGGTGGGGATTAATATGTTTGAAAAAGAATGTATTGTGTAATTTTGCCCTATAAAAACTAAACTCTTGCAAATTTGAACTGAAAAACACATCAGTAAGATTAGATAAGAAAATAGAATAAAAAGAACAATCTGCAGACAAGAGGAAAACAGAAGAACAGCAATAAAAGCACTGTACCTTTGCTTTGTGTATGTTTTGCTGTGCAAGTACTGATTTTGTGTCATGTACCCCATATCATTTCTTTTCTATTTTTTTATACTGCACAAATGTAACTCATTGCTGTACTTTGGTATGGTATAACATTCAGTACCATATTGATGTTTTTCACATTTTATTTAACAAGTAAGTTCAATACATATAAACATACATGAAATGTTTCTACTTCAAGATAATACAAATATACTTGAGCTACTGTATGTGTTATAAATCTTAGTCTTTTTTCACAATAGAAAAATCAGATAAGTTTGACTGTGTTGACTATTTCATTGATTACAGTGTTTTATTATTGGCATGTTTTTGGTCCATTAAAAAATCTTTTAAGTCCAATTTGATATTTTTATCTGATAGGATGGAACTTCTAAATCTTTGTGACAATTGTTTTAATGCAGTCATTAATTAGTCTACTGTAAAGATGATTTAAACACTGTAAAGACCATTTAAAGTTTTATTGAATAACTCTTGCCTTTGGAACAACACTCTTTGGACCTATGATTGTCTGCATAACAATTTGTTTTGTGTTCTGCAGTTATACATGTATTGACATTATTTTTTGTTTAAATCTTGAGCTAATGCACAGTTACTAACATACCTGTTTGTAATTATAAGCTATACACAAACTGACAAAGTTTTGATTGTAATTTATTCTTGATAATCAGTTTGCAATGGAGTATTTTGTTTGTTTTGAGATTTTATTCACTGATAATCCCAACAGATGGAATTTCTTATAAATGTGACACTTTTTCTTTACTTAAACATCTATATGAACACATGTACTGCATACACATGTAAAAAGTAAAATAACAAAAATAACAAACAGAAAAATGATGAGATGTTCTTCGACATAACCCTGGTTCATTAACTTTCTGCCCAGACACTGGTGACATTTTATACAGTCTGAGTAGTAGTAAATGTACATGCATTTACAAAGACTAACTGCCAGCAGAAAATCAAAGTACCTGTCTTTGAAAATGTACTTGTTTTAAGGCCACTGTGCATGGTTTTGCTGATCAACTCATCCATACACATAAGCACAAATAACATATACCATGCAGTAATAGTAGCACTCTTCTGACTGGTATTAAGGATCAGGAGGTGTATTTATACTACTGGCTAATGATTAGTAATGAAAGTGAGAAAAAAAGTGGATGCTTCACTACATTCATGTAAAAATCATTAAAAAAAAAGATGTGTAAAAAGCACACAGAATTACATAGTACAGAAAGCTGTGTCTTTATTACTCATCAACAATGTATATTACAAAACAAGTCATATTATATGCACAAGGTATTTACTTGTTTTATGAAATCTTTTCATTAAAACTTTTTTAAGTGAAATAAAATAATTTGCCATCTACATAACCATACATTATGTACATATATTTATGTGTTAAAGACATGAAAGAAGGGCAATCAAACCTATTTTTGTCGAGCCTGCGACTTTTGTCACAGAAAGCTCGACATAGGGATAGTGATCCGACGGCGGCGTAAGCTAACTTCTTAAAAGCTTTGTATTTTAGAAGGTGGAAGACCTGGATGCTTCATACTTTGTATATAGATGCCTTATGTTACAAAGTTTCTGTCTGTCACATGTCCATTGTCCATGACCTCATTTTCATGGTTCAGTGACTACTTGAAAAAAAGTTAAGATTTTTTGTAATGTTAATTTCTCTCTTATAATGAGTAATAGGATAACTATATTTGGTATGTGCGTTCCTTGCAAGGTCCTCATGCCCTTCAGACAGTTTTCACTTGACCTCGACCTCATTTCATGGATCAGTGAACAAGGTTAAGTTTTGGTGGTCAAGTCCATATCTCAGATACTAGAAGCAATAGGTCTATCATATTCGGTGTATGGAAGGACTGTAAGGTGTACATGTCCAACTGGCAGGTGTCATCTGACCTTGACCTCATTTTCATGGTTCAGTGGTTATAGTTAAGTTTTTGTGTTTTGGGTCTGTTTTTCTTATACTGTATGCAATAGGTCTACTATATTTGGTGTATGGAATGATTGTAAGGTGTACATGTCTAGCTGGCAGGTGTCTTCTGACCTTGACCTCATTTTCATGGTTCAGTGGTCAATGTTAAATTTTTGAGTTTTGGTCTTTTTTTCTAATACTATATGCAATAGGTCAACTATATTTGGTGTATGGAAATATTTTTATGATGTACATGTCAGTCTGACCGGTTTTATTTGACCTTGACCTCATTCTCACGGTTCATAGCTCAGTGTTAAGATTTTGTGTTTTGGTCTGTTTTTCTATTACTATAAGCAATAGGTCAACTATATTTGTTTTATGGAAGGATTGCAAGCTGTACATATCTGCCTGGCATGGTTCATCTGACCTTGACCTCATTTTCATGGTTCATTAGTCAATGTTTAGTTTTCTTGGTTACGTCTGTATCTTAGAAACTATAAGCAATAGGTCAACTATGTTTAGTGTATTGAATGATTGTAAGGTGTACATGTATTTCTTGTTTGGTTTATATGACCTTGACCTCATTTTCTTGGATCATGTTAAGTTTATTTGATAGTTGTAGTAAAGCTTTATATTTAGAACTATCAACATAATATCAATGATTAGTAAAGAAGGCAAGACATTTCAGCATGTGCACTCTTGTTTAAGTTTGCCATAGATACAATGTAATGATATAAACCATTGTGATTCTTTCACACACTACAGCAGTTCTGGAGCAATCAAGTCACTGGGGCTTAAATTATGGTACATGTAAAGTTACTTGCATGTATGATGGCTCAGTTACCCTACATGATAAAGTGTATAAATAGTAGTTTTATTTTACTTCTACATCCCTCCTATATTATAAACACAGTACCACTATATGACCTACATTTCACACATGAGAAACTGAAGTTTTATGCTTAAATTGAAACTCACATACTCTTTGTTTTTTTATCACAATGGACTGCATTTTCTCTTGTTTGAAAATGCGCTTTATATAGGCAGCACATTTCTGGAATATTTGAGGGACTGCAATTTTGATCTGGTGCTTCAGTTACTTGTTAAATTTTGCATTTTCTCAGAGACATTTTAAGATTAACTTATATATTTCAACACTAATAAAAAATTAAGTTCCAGGAAGTTGATACATCCATATCTTCCTGACGTATTATCCACAGTAGTTATTTTTAGGGTGTATTTATTGTGATTAACAGTGTTGTAACCCTGCTTTTTGCAGCTATAAAAAAAGTTAAAAAGATAATTCATATGCATTGCTCTCCACTATTCTGGATTTTGTATTGATACAAGTACTTTTAAATACTATTTAAAGTGTTTGCTACGTACTCAATATCTATCTATAGCTAATATTCAGTACATAAAAGAGGAAAATTTATAAATATTAATATTCTTAAATATGATATGCCTTTCAAAAAATAATTGCAAGTTTTGAAATGACCTTTGTTAAGACAGATGGATCTTTTTGTGTGTCGGAATTTTAAAAGGCAGCTGTCTAGTTAACATAAAAACCAGGTGCCCTTAGACATGTCATAGAATTTGAATATGAGTGAATTGTCATAGAAATAAAATTGTGGTCTTTCACCTGGCTGAACATTACTTTAAACCATATTTACTTGTATTGGAGAAAAACTATATTGATGGAAAAGTTAGTA